GACCACTTACCAACTTTGTCTCCCATATCAAAAGTCTCAGGCAGAGCTTCTAAAAGTTTGTCCTTGGAAAGGGTCCACCACGTTAAATTCTTGATCTGTTAGAAACCAAAGAGGGATTTTGAACAGGGGGTGGAAAATAAGGAATGAAAGATGTGGGGATAAGAAGAGGAAGGAATGAAGATGGGAATGAAGAGTGAGGGCGTGGGTGACAGTGAAACCAGAGGAGTATGGTACATGGAAATGAGGGATATATGGATATTAGGATGGAGTACAGGGGATGAAGGATGAGAGAACAAGGAACCAAGAAAACATGGGGATTGGGGGGAAGGGATGAAGAAATAGAGCTAAGGTATGAGATGTAGGGGACTGGACACTCCTCAAAGAATAATCAGAAAGTTAGCTGGCCCAGGTTAGGGGAGAGAGTCACCACTTTGGGGGGATAGAGCACAGAGATAGGGATTAGGAGGGGGCTGAGCCCTGCCCATCGGCTAGGTTTTCTCAAAGTGTGCCAAGTCATAGCGCCAATCCTTCGTGGTGTAATGTGTGTGTGTAGGGGGTAGGGAAGAGGGGCTCAATTAGAACTTGCCTACCTAGTCCATAGACCATTAGACCTACTCTACCAAGAAATGTCTCCTTACCACATGCACCACAGCACCTAAAGTTCTGCCTTGGATTTATTAATTTAAATTATCTTGCCCTCATTTTGCTCCTCTCAGAGGAGAAGAAAATTCCCACTTTTGTACTTCAGTGGGTATGAAGCTATCAGAGACTGACTGGTGGGACATCAGAGAGGTAGAAAAGGGGTCAGAAAAGGAGGTGGAGAAGACCACACATAAACATGGACAGGGCCAAAATTTTTTGCCTTTATGTCAACTTTGTTTCACTGATTCAGGGGATGCCTTCCTGCCCTAGTCCAGAAGAGAGGACCCCTAGGAATGTCACCCCGGGAACCCTCTGTTGTTGTTGTCGTTGTTGTTATTTAGTTGATTAGTTGTGTCCAACTCTTCATGACCCCATTTAGGTCATTTCTTTTTTTTTTTCTCCAAGCCCTATAATATTTCACTTTTTAACAGCTTGAGGCACAAGCACCATTAAAAAATTCATCTTTTATAAGATTGAAAGTTCTGTATAGTGCTTGCTTATGTAATAAACCAACATTCTTGAAATTTCTATAACATTTTACATTCTGAGCAACACCCTTGTCCACAAGTTGAATTAATAATGTAACAAAAGCAGGCATGATGACGGTAAAAATATTATACTCCATTTGGATAGTTGCTAAAATCATCTGAGATAATAACTTTGCTACCTTCAAGTAAACACACATGTCCAAAATGTTCCTGATGCTGTGCACCAACTATGAAATTATGAAACAGATCAAAAACATTTGTCCATTCAAAGAAATCTGTCCACCTCTGAAAATTCATGAATTTTCATTTCCAAAGGTTTTATCAAGTGTGTACACAATTTGTTCTTTTCTTAAAGGGGGTTGGTGGGGAATAGGAAAGGGGCACATTTAATTCACTTGAACGTTAACAGGCTTTGACATTACCAAAATGGACTGGGGTTTCATAAAAGATAAAATCCTTTAGGAAGAGAAGATGGACCAGTCCTAGAGGTAGACATCTAAAAAAATTCAGAACACTATTCTCTACCTTCAAAATCAATTATTTTTTGAAGATATTTAGCTTTCTGATGCCACAAATTTAACGTAACTAGCATTAAATTTGTACTTGTCCCTCAAAATACAATTTTAATTTGCTAAAAAAAAAAATTCACTTTTCATTCTTTTGATGAACAATAAACAAGAAATAAGGAAAATATTCTCCTGTCAGTTCACTAAAATATTTTTCACAAGGGCCCAATTTAACATATTCATTTTAGGATCAGAAATAGCCAAGTGCAAATGACTATTTTTATTGGGCGGACCTTGGTGTCACAAGGATAATCTTTTACTTTCCTATATCCAAGTTTATCTCATTCTGGCCTTCTTTCTTTCGCTTATGGGTGTTTGGACGGTTTGTAAGATAGCGTTGTTTTTTTAGTCCAGATCCCATTTGGGGTTTTCTTGGCAAAGATACTGGAGTGGTTAGCCATTTCCTTCTCTAGCTCATTTGACAGATGAGGAAACTGAGACAAACAGGGTTGAGTGACTTGCCCAGGGTCACACAGCTACTAAGTGTCTGAGGCCGGATTTAAATGCAAGTCCTCCTGACTCCAGGCCCAGCAGTCTATCCACTGCACCACCTAGCTACCCTTAGAACCCGTAGCACACAGAATAAACTGAGCCTGAGCTGTTTCTGACTGATGTGCCACCACCAGGTCCCAGAACAAAGACTCCATCTAGGTAAGAATGATTGTCCTTCATCACAGGATCCCACAGACTCCATCTACCAGAGAGGATGAATTATGCTTTCCCCACCTCAGTAGACTGGAGCAGGTATGATGAGGTGTTTTCTATGTTGCTGGAGCATTAGCAGTGCTATGCAAACAACTTGAGTTCCAGCACCAGTTTTGTTACTAACTCCTCCTGTGACTGCTTCTCCTCTCTAAGACTCAGTTCATCCATCTATAAAATGAAGTTGTTGGACTAGCTCTACCACTTGATCTGGGTGTTACTTTGAGCAAGTCACTCTGGGACTCAGTTTCTTCATCTGTAAAATGAAAGAGTTAGATGACCTCTAAAGTCCCTAGAAGTCTGAATCTAGGATCTATGACCCAAAGACTATGTAATTATCAAGCCTAGGGCAGATGGATGTCTTTCCTATCAAAACCAACCCCATTGATCAATATCCTGCTCAACCTAGCTGAGTCATGGTTACCATGGAAGCAATAAAGGGTATTCCTCATTGGGTGGGGTGGAGATAGATGATTTCCTGATGTCCTGTCCAACTCTCTCAAAGTCTATGTTCTATTTTTCAATGATTCCATAAAATGCTTAAAGTTCTCTAAGCTCTATAATTATGTGGATTAGTTAATTAAAGAGAGTGAAGTATGGATAATTGGCTCCCTTGCCCTGAAGCAGGCACCTCCTCATGCTGGCAGTCTTGGCAGGTCAAACAGTAGGGGTCTGTGATGGTGGAGTTGGAAAAGACTGAGCAAGGGACTGGAGGCTTAGGCCATGGTGCTTTCTTCTAGGTGACAGGACTGACCAGGAGAGCTTAAGAGAGGAACATGTGACAAAGTATATTATATATATAAAATATATATTATATAAATAATATTATATTATAGTGCAAAGAATTCTGGGCTGGAAATTGGGACATTTCAGTCTAGCCACTAGCTAGTTGTGTGACTTTGGGAAAGTCTCTTTTCCTTTCCTGAATCTCAGTTTCTTCTATAAAAATAATATTTAGAGAGATGATCTCTAAGTTTTCTCTCAGGTGTAACATTCCATGGTTCTATGAATACAAGGCAGATTATATTTGTCCTTAGTGGGGCAAAGAGAGAAAAAGCTGATCAAAGGGATTCTGGGTAGGGAATCTAGAAGAGCTATTTAATTTAGGCTTTAGATGGCTGTAAAGAATCCAGTTTTTACATGCCAAAACTTGAACATGGAGCACAGCAAAATATAATAAAATAAAATAACATAAAATAAAATAAAATACTAAGTTCCAAGGATGGAGGCTAAAGGTCAGCCAGAGGATTCACCAAGGTGAGGACAGTAGAGAGGATTGTGAGAATGTAAGGAAGAATAGGAAAAGATTGAAATAATTTTTAAAGAAGAATACGTTAAACCAGGGGTGAGGAACCTGCGGCCTCGAGGCCACATGAGGCCTTCTAGGTCCTCATTGCCCTTTGACTGAATCCAAGCTGAGTTTAATGACTAAGCTGAACACTAGTCATTTATTTATTTATTAGGGTTTTTGTTGTTGTTGTTGTTGTTGTTGTTTTAGGCAATTGGGATTAAGGGACTTGCCCAAAGTCACACAGCTAGTAAGTGTCTGAGGCCAGATGTGAACTCAGGTTTTCCTGATTCCAAGGCCGGTGCTTTAGCCACTGCACCACCTAGGTGGCCCTGGTCATTTATTTTTGGCGTCAAAGAATATGGGTTCATATCCTGGCTCTGCTACTTCTGACCTGGGCAAATCTCTTTGGGCTTCAGTTTCCTCCAGTGTAAAATAATTCGGATAAGATGACCTTAGAGTTTCCTTTTTTTTCCCCTCTATCAGGTTGTTTAATCTGTAAATAAATTATGTCTGGAAGTTCCTTACATTACATTTTTTTTTTTTTACTCCAATGACGATAAGCTTATCACTCATACTGGAGAAATTTGGATACAAAATGAATATGGGTCCCGAATAAATATATGGATGTGATGATGGCAGAGGTACCAACAATGAATATAAGAAATCTTCTGTTTTTATTACATACCTCTCACTAGGAATAGGAGAAACAAAAAAGCAGTAGAACTAAGAAGGGGAACCAGGCAGAGACAGCCTGGGAGCAGGAAGGGGCCAGTTTTAAGGGACTGACTTGATGGATGAAGTACTGGAGGGGATGTGTATCTAAGTACGATTTCTGTCCTAAGAGGAATGAAATGTAGACTCTGTAACCTTGCTGTGCACCTGTTAGCATTTGCTAACTTGTGGTTAGTGTGTGTCTCTAGTTGTTCTTACATATGCAATACATTAACCTTTGTGTCAGTCAGACACAATCTGGTCTCCAGATATTACTGCTAGGGAGGCTGGTGGAAGAGGGAAAAGTGGAACATTTTATGGTGACCAGAGCTGCTGGAAGAAGCTCTTCAATTCAGCAGCAGCAGATGGGACCATAAAATTGGATGGGAGAAGGCAAGGAGATGCTCGTGGCTGGATTTTTGTCATGGGTCCTATGGTGGGAGACAGTTGTGGACTTAGTAACCAGAAGGAATAACCCTTAGAAAATCTTTGGGAATCATGCTAAGAATTAGCCCATTCTGGGACAAATGGTATTGAGAATTTTTGGATGCTACTTCCTAGTCTTTGTCTTCCTGCACCTCCCTGCTCTGCACCACCTCTCTGTAAGAAGGCAAGTTAGGCTTAGATGACTCTCAGGGCAAAAACTTTCCAAGAAATGACCCCATTTTCAGGTGACCTCCCTTTCTACACTGAGTGTAAGAATGTGGGTCATCAACAGCCTCCTGGGAGTCATCCAGGCCCCTCTGAAGGCTGAAACTCCAAAGTTTACCTATGACTGCTTCAATTTAAAACTAGGTACAGAAAATGTTTAGAATCTAGAATGAAAACCCAATTAAGGGCTGTCCCATTCTGATAGCAAGGCTATCTCCACCTTCTAGGGAAAGGTTTAGGTTATCTGAGAGGGGAGGTTAACTCACCTAGATCCCTTTGAGGGTAGGGGAACAGCTCACCTGGACACCTTGAAACAGCTTACCTGAGACTCATCAGGTGGTAGAGTCAGCAAACTAATAGTAGCAACTATAGCAGCTGTGATGGAGAAGAGCACCACAGAGAAGTGAAGATAGTGAAGGCTGTGGAGCACAGCTGGCCGGTTGTCTGTGAAGCCACAAGGTGGCTCAGGGTAAACAAATTCCAGGATCATCCGGGTAGCTCCCACTATCAGCCCTGTCATCAGCCCCCAGAAGGCCCCCTGCAGGAAAAGGAGATGCAACCATAGGTACTCACTCTCAATCCCTCTTTCTTTCTCTGGAACATGCACACACACACACACACACACACACACACACACACGCGCGCACACACACACACTCAGAGCGGTGTAGAGCTTAGAGACCAGCTAGTTCAACCCTCTCCTCTCTCTCTATTACTCTCCCTTTTACCATTCCCCCCACTATGTCCACACTTTACAGATAAAAAAAACCTCCCCCCCAAAAAACCCCAAACTGAAGTGCAGGAGATAATTTACCTAGCCACCAAGTTATGAAGCCAGAACTGTAACCCAGGTCCTCTGAATTCATAATCTGGACCCAGGTTACCTGTCTAGGCTTACTGCACATTACTCTCTTTCACATACTTTATAGGTCAACCAAACTGACCTACTTGCTTTTCCTCATACATGACCTTATATTTCCTCTTTTTGTGCTTTTGCACATAAATATAGATATAGATATACACATACATATAAGTAGACATCTATATCTGTCTATCCATCTATCTATTATCTATCTATCTATCTATCATCCATCTCCCTATCCATCTATCCATCCATCCATCCATTTATCTATTGAGAGACTTCTTCAAACAATCTAAACTCCCAATTCCCCAACTTACTCATTTCTCATGAACTATTCCTCTGCTTAACCACAGCTACACGCAGCTTTACCTTTGATCTTGTTATCACCCAAAAGTCATTCCCTCCTATGTTGATGAACTCTAAAGTTCCTTTATCTGATCATAATCTGTTATTATTCCACCTCTCACTCTGCCTTGAAACCCGAAGCCCTGTTTTTCCTCCTTACTGTGACCTCTAATCTCTCTAACCCTCAGTCCTTTCTCGGCTCATCACTCCTACACTATTTTCCCCTCCCCATTTTGACCCCTTGCTGAACCAGTTCAACTCTATACTGTCCTCTTCTCTAAGGCCCCTTACCCCTTTACTCTTTCAAAGATCTTGCCATGCTAAAACTTCAGCCGTGGATTATTCTCATTATTCACTGCCTTCACTGTTACTCAGGTGCAGTGGAACAAAGCTGGAGAAGATCATGAAATCCTGCTGACCAAGTTCACTTCAAATTTATGTTACATAATCTCAACCGGGCCTTCACTGAAGCAAGAAAACCCTTTTACGCCTCCCTCATCAGTTCACTATCCCGTTCACCACAGTGCCTTTTCCAAACCTTTTCATCCCTTCTCAGACATCCCATAGTTCCTCTTCCCTCTACTTTCTTACCTTGTTTCATATTTTACTGAAAAAAAAATGAGGCCATTCACCTAGAACTCCTCCTTTGCCCCTTCTCCTCATCTTATATCACTTAGATACCTTATGATACTATCTCCTCCTTCACTCCTGTTTCACATGAAGAAGTGGATCTTCTCCTGAGCAAGACAAACCCCTCTATATGCACAAGTGATCCCATTCCATCCCATCTTCTCCAACAGATTGCCCCCTCTATCATCCATACTCTCTCACTAATCTTCAATCTCTCCCTGTCTACTGGCTGCTTGTCTGCTGCCTCCAAACACTTCAACATCCCCCCCACCCTCAAAAAATCCTCACTTGATCCATTCATCTCTGCTAACTATCATCCTGTAAGGCTCCTCCCTTTTGTCACTAACTCCTTGAGAAAGATATGATCAGTACCCCCAACTTCCTTTCCTCTCACTTTCTTAACTCTCTACAGTCTGGCTTCTGACTTCATTCAACTGAAACTGCTCTTTCAAAGTTATTAATGATCTCTTAAGTGCCAAATTTAATGGCCTTTTCTCAACCTCCCATCCTTCCTTACCTTTCTGCAGTCTTTGACTGTTGACCTCCTCTTCTTCTTGATACTCTCTTTTCTCTAGGTTTTCATGACACCATTTCCTACTTCTCCTTCTACGTGTCTGACAAGCTCTTTACTCCTCTTTGTTGGATCTTCATTCAGGTTGCACTCACCAAACATGGGTTTCCTCCTAGACTCTGTCCTCATCTCCCCCTATACTATTTCTCTCAGTGATTTCACCAGCTCTCATTGATTCAATCATCATCTCTATGAAGATGATTCTCAGATCTGTTTGTCCAGTCCTAACCTCTATCTTGATGCCCACTCTACAATCTCCAACTAATTATTGAATATCTCAAACTGGATGTCCCATAGACATCTGAAACTCAACAAGTCTAAAATTGAACTAATTATCTTTTCCCCAAAACTCTCTTTTTATCTTCCCTCTTACTATAGATGGTCCCTCTATAATCCCAGTCATCTAGGCTCACAACCCAGGTATAATTTTCAACTCTTCACTCTCTCTTACCCCTCTCATATCCAAACTGCTATCAAATCCTGTTATTTTTACCTTCACATCTATGTATCTATATCTATATATCTCCTTTTCTCCTCTGACACTGCCACAATCCTAGGGCACATCTCCATCACTCTATGCCTGGTGTAATTGCCTTATGATTGGTCTTCCTTCCTCAGGTCTCTGCTCTCTACAATCCATCATCTATTTAGATGTCAAATTGATCTTCCTTATATGCAGGTCTCAACTATGTCACCTCTCTTTCCATTCAATAAACTCAAGTGGTTCCCTATTACTTCCAGGATCAAGTATAAAACCCTCTTGTTTGGTTTTTAAAGCCTTTCATAACCTGGCCCTTTCCACTTTTCCAGTCTTTTTATACTTATTCCCTCATCATCCCTCACCCCCCATCAACATATTCTGTGATCTAATGACACTGCCTTCCTTGCTGTTCCTTGAATAAGAAACTCTCCTGACTCCGTGCATTTTCATTGGCTGTCTCCCATGGGTGGAATACTCTCTTGCCTCATCTTTACCTCCTAGCTTTCCTAACTTCCTTCTTGTCTCCACTAAAGTCCCATTTTCTGTAAGAAGTTTTTCCCAATCCTCCTTAATCTCAATGTTTTCCCAATGAGATTAACTCCAATTTATTCTCTCTCTCTATATCCTATTTGTACATAAAGTCTTTCACCCTTTACTGTGAGCTCCTCGAGAGCAATGTCTGTTTTCTGCCCTTTTTTTTTAATCCCTAGAGCTTAGTGTCTTGCTTGGCATATAGTAGGTGCTTATTAAGTACTTATTGACTGACTGACCTCTCTGAGCCTCAGTTTTATCATCTATAAAATGAGGGGGTTGGGCTTGATGACCTTTAAGATTTCTTCCAGCTCTAAATCTATGAACCCATGAAGGATAAAAACAAAACAGTCCCTGTCCTCAATGTGATTATATTCTATTGGGTGTAAACAGCAGTCAATATTACAGATCATTAAAAAAAATCTAAGTAAACAACAGAATACTTTCTACAAGAAGTGTACTAACAACTGTGGGCATCAAACTAGGCCTCCTCAGAAAAATAGCATCTGAGTTGAGTTTTAAAGGAAGACATGGATTCCATAAGGCAGAGATGAGGAGGGACTGCATTACAGGTCAGCAAAGGCACAGGGATGAGAGGTGGAATGTCATACATAGGAAACAGTAGGTAGGTCAGTTTACCTGGAATGTAGAATATTTGAAAGAGTAATATGCAATAAACCTGGAGAGATAGGCTGGAGTCTGATAGTGAGGGACTTTAAAAGGCAAATGAAGAAGTTTATATTTTATGTTGGAGGCATAGATCTGAGAATCATCTTCATCAAGCAAAGGAATGACAGAGTCAGAAGTAGGCTTTTGGAATATCAGTTTGGCAGTTCTGTGGAATATAGGTTAGAGAGAGATGAACCCAGATGGAGGGAGACCAATTAGGAAGCTGTTGCAATAATCCAGATAAAGGTGATAAGAGCCTAAACCAGTCACCAGGCTGAGAAAGGGTTGGAGGGATTCCCAAACCCAGTTCTGATCATGCATTGTCCTACCTGGGAAGTTCCACTATCTCGTTCTTGACTGGCATAAATTATAAATTTCTCTATTTGACTTTTAAAGTCCTTTATGAACGAGAGGGACAGTTAAGGATGACTCTAAGGTTAAGAACCAAGGTTATTGGGAGAGTTGTGTTACAGTCAATGCAAATAATGAATAAAAGCAGAGGAGATGATTTAGAAGGAAAGATAGGTTCTGTTTGTTGAGTTCGACAGGTCTATGAGACTTCTATGAGACAAATGGAGTCATCATGTAGGCAGTTGGTGAAATGGGACTATAGTTAAGGTAAAGACTGGGGCTGGATCTATACATCTGTTAGCTTTCTGCACAGGGATGATAGTTTGAACCTAAGGGAGCTGATGAAATCACCAAGATTGTAGAGAGAGAAAAAAGGATACAGACCTATGCTACTCCTAGGCATAGGTGAGGTGGGACATGGGTGATGATCTAGCAAAAAAGACTGAGAAGGAGCAGTCAGACAGCAGCCAGAATGAGGAGGGAAGAGTGTCAGAAAAACCCATGGAGGAGAAAGTATTCAGAAAGAGAGAGTGGTCAGCAGTGACAAGCAATCAAAAAAAAAAAAGGACAAAAACTGACAAAAGGCTACCAGAACTCTTGAATTCTTTTCTCAGTTCCTAATTCATCCACTCTTTCTAGAACCCCAGGGTAGTGTAATTCCCACCACCCATGGGACCTGACCCCTCTGGGTACTCTGTTCCTTCTAGTGTCCAGACCCAGTATGGTTCTGTTTTCTTTGTCCTGCCTGTATTTCAGCTCAGAGACAGAATTTTTCCAAAGGAACTTTTACTAGGAAACAAAGGTATTCCCAAAGCCTTGATGGTGAATTGGATATTTATTAGCATCAGGGTGGTTGTTTGTTTTTTAAGCCAAAATGGGCAAAAAAGGAGGATCAAGAAAGGCATATTCTTGGACTGTATAGAGGGATGGAGAAGGGAACAAGTATTTATTAGGTACCTAGTATATGTCAGACACTGTGCTAAATATTTTATCAATATTATCTCATTTCATCCTCTCAACAACCATAGGAGGTAGATGATTTTATGTCCTTCATTTTACAGTTGAAGAAACTGAGCAAGACAGAGGTTAAGTGATTGCCCAAGGTCATACAATTAGTAAATGTCTAAGGGCATATTTGAACTCAGGTCTTTCTGACTCGAGGACCAGTGCTTTATCCACTGCATCACCTAGCTGCATAGGACAATAATGGCATCAGATGGAGGACAGAGCTTCCCAATTCTTATCTTGCTTCTATTTTCTCTGACAAGGAGAATGAGCCTTGTATTGGTGATGACAAGTAAAAAAGGATAAGTAAAGAAATAGTAAGAAAGTTTCCCATGTTGAACTAAGATCACCTGCCCCAAAGGAATTGCACGCTCAGGTACTTAAAGAAATGGCTGAGCCATTGTCAGTGATTTCTGGAAGATCATGGACAACAGGAGAGATGCCACCAGATTGGAGAAGGGGAAATGCCCTAATTAAAAAAAAAGAGGAGCACAGAGTCTGAATACTGTAAACCAGTGAGAATGACTTGAATTCCTTCTTCCATGGCCTCCATTCTAGAAAGGACCATTAAAGGATAGATAGTGAACATCTAAAAAAGGAAGCAGTGATTACAAAGGGCCAACATGATTTCATCAAGAACACATCATAAGAGATAAACTTCATTTGCCTTTTTTTTTATAAGATTATTAAATGAATAGATGAGGAGAATGCAGTGGACACAATTTACTTAGATTTTTTTAAAGCTTTTGATAAAATTTTCATATTCTTCTTGTGGAGAGGGTGGGAGATTATGGATTAGATGACAATATGACTAGCTAGATTTAGTATTAGTTGGATGGCTGCACTCAAAGAATGATTGTTAATGGTTCACTGTCAGAGATCTGTGCATGGTCCAGTGCTATATAACATTTTTATCAATGACTTAGATATTGACATTTATAGCATGCTCATCAGACTTGAAGATGACCCAATGGTTAACACACTGGACAATAGAGTCAAGATTCAAAAGGATCATGACAAGCTAGAGCACTGGGCTGAATCTAATAAGGTGAAATTCAATAAAATTTCAATGTAAAATCTTACACATGGGTGCAAAAAAGTCAGTTTTACAAGTACAGGAAGGGGGAGTCATGGTTAGATAGCAGTTGTTCCAAAAAAAGACCTGAGGGTTTAAGTGGATTGTAAGCACCATGGGATGCGGCAGCCAAAAAATTTCAGGTAGTCTTGGGCTGTACTAAGTGGGATATGGCAGACAGGAATAGGGAGGCAGTGGTACTATTGTATTCTGTCCTTATCAGACCTCATCTAGAGTATTGTGTTCTGTTCTGTACCACAATTTAGGAAGGACATTGACAAATTAGATGATGTCCAGAGGAGGTTAACTGGGATGGTGAAAGGCCTTGAGTCCTTGTCGTAGGAGAATCAGATAAAGGGACTGGGGGTGGGGGTGGGGATGTTGGTTAGCTTGGAGAAGAGAAGAAACATTTAAGTATTAGAAGGACTATGATGTGGAGGAAGGATGAGATGGCCAAAATAGGAGCAATGAGTGGAAATTGAAAAGAGAAAGATTTCATCTTGATGTCAGGGAAATCTTCCTGAGTAGAATGATCTGCTTCAGGAAGTGGTGAGTTGCCCCTCCTTGGACATCTTCAAGCAAAAGCTGGATAACCACATGCTAGGGAATTCCTTAGCTATGGGCTTAGAGAGACTATATGGCCACTGAGATCCTTTCCAAATTGCAAATTCTGTGATGCTGTGAAGGTCCCTCAATCCTTGATGAAAGGATGGTGGGAAACTTTTGGCTGGTTCAGCTGCTCTTTGTGGGGCTGTAGTACCTGTGGGACAGGAGAGTCTTTCCCACCCTTTTGGGAAGTACTCTTCTTCCCTGTGTTCTCTCCAGTTTGGACTCTCTCTCCTTATACTCCTCCTCCCCTACCACCCTTAGCCATGATCTCTGAGAGCTATGTCCCTCCCAGGGTTGCACCACATTGCTTGAGTGATACCTGGCACACACTTTAGCACCTGGGCTGCCCACCAGTTCCTGAGAAGCAACTGATCAGGTCTTGCAAAACATGTGGGTTACCAGAGGAACTGAAACACTTCCTTCAACAGGTCTGATCAACACTGCCTCGGGAACCTCCAGTAGTACCAGTAGTACTATTACTAACAATAACATATATATATATATTTATATATATATTATATATACATAAAATATATATATATATATAAATATATATATACACATATAGCTATTGTAAGCATTAAAATCCCTGTTTTCAAGATTAAGAAACTGAGGTTCAGAGGATTTAAGGGACTTACTCAAATCATACAATTAGCAAGTTATTGGAGCCAGGATTCCTGAAACCAAGTCCAGTGCCATTTCTACTAAATTCCACTGCTTCTATATTTCCTCTGGCTGAGAATGATTTTATAATCCAAGGTCTAAAGGCCTGAACCTAAAACCCTAAATCCCCTACCCAACACTATCCCCATCTAGACTCAGGATGACACTTTCCAGAAAAAAAAGTATCTTGTTATCTATTGGGTAGCTACAGCTCCTCAACTATTCTTGGGGTATGTTGGCATTGATTTCTCTGGTGACATCCAGGTCCTACCTCTGGGAACTTTGGTATCATGGGAATTTACCCAATTTGCTGAGCAGAACAATTCATTCATTCATCCATTCATCTACCCCTGCTATTCCCTTGTCAATCCACATAGAAATCCTTGCTCTCCCTTTTTCTTAAATAGGTACATATGACCCTTCCCTTTGACCTTCCTCATGGCTCTTTACCTACCTGTTCATTGGCCCGATTCCAAAATACTCCTAGAATGAAGACAGCTGTGACTGGAGGTGCCAGAGAACTGGTGACCACCTGCATGTAGATGAAGAGCTGTCCACTTTTGGAGCCCTGGAGGACTGGGATCCAGACTACGCTAATGCCGACAAGGACCACAATAACCAGCCTATAGAAGAAGAAATGCCATTGTCACCCATCAGTGAATGTACTATCCCTATTATTTAGGTCTATTTTTTCTCTCAAGTCTCTGTACTAGCGCTTGAGGTAGAGAAAGCTAGAATACTCCACTCTCTAATGACTCCACATTCCCTTTTTCTTTACCTACTACTCTGGGCCTTGGAGGAAATGGGGACTGGAGGAAAGGAATTTAGGAGGGAATAGAGTAAGGAAAACACTCTAAGTTGATCTGCAGAGGAAAACTTGGTATATTACACACTCCTTATTCCCTACACTTCCCTTAACTGTTCCATTCTCCATTTATGATTGTACTATGTGTGTCTCTCCAATATTTCCTAGACTAGGGCTGAGGGCACAATAGGCATGATGAATTGATTGACTGGCTAACTGGATCCTGGCTACCAGGGCTCGGCTAGAAATAAAGAGCAACCAGAGATGTGCCTAAGAATTTTTCCATCTGAGGCAAAAACATTTGGGAGGGCAGGTGGGGAACAGTGCTGGTACAGATAATGATAATTCAATGCATGCTGTCCTATAGTAGCTGTCATCTTTTCCCCCAGTCATTTGCTGGTCTGAGAGCCTGATCCTGTACTTTTCCAAAAAGACATCTCTCTCCATCCTCAAGCCCCATAGACCCACTGGCCTGAAGAAGACCTTGAGTTACAGGGCTCTGGAATAACAAATTCCAGGGGAGAATCAGGTCACTGCTCTATCCAAGAGGACTTGCAGCTGCTGGCGCCCAAGTCAGCATCTTTGGGCAAAGTCCCAGCAAGTCTGCCCTAGTTATGTTTCTGTTCAGAGAATCGTGGAATATTAGAACTGGAAGGGACCTTAGAGGTCATCCCATCCAACCCCCTCATTTTACACATAACAAAAAACTGTGGTCTAAGGTCACACAGCAATTTAACTACAGAACTGGGACTAAAAATCCATGACTCCTGACTCTCAGTCTAATGATTTGTTCCTAACAGTACACAGGTATGAGGGATAAGGGAAGTGGGAGGTGGGGCCCTGAAATCCCAAAATAGAAGCCACAAGGAAGAGTCCCAAGCACTTTTGTAGCAGTAAAGATTGGGAGTGGGCAGGGCTCAGGAGCCCTAAACCTCCATGTCTCCAATGCAGAGCAACCAGCTCTGTCCTTTTTAGTCCTTGGGTGGAGAAGAAAGGAGAGGAAAAGAGAAGGAATGAAGGTGACATACTAATTAATACTAATTAACACTTAGATATGACACTTCTCTTCTTCAAAGTCTTTTCCAGGCCTTCATTAACCACTGTTCTCTCTCCATAAACCATAATTTCCCATGTCTGTTGGACGTCTCCTCTTGGATATCTTATTAAAAACTCATCATGGCCCAAAGCAAACTTCTTATCTCTTCTCCTGACTTCACTATCTCTGTGAATGGCATCAAGATCTTCCCTGTTATCCAGACTCAAAACCTCTTCCTCACTCCCACATCTGGTTACCAAGTCCTAGCAATTCTTCCATGGTGATATCTCCCAAACCTCTGTCTTCTTCTCTCCCAACAGACCGTCCTAAGCTCATACCTTTAGCCCTTATCACCTAATACTTAGATTATTGCAGCCACTGAACACTGGTCTCTTTGCCTTCAGTGGTAAAGAATCATGGCAATGACAGTTCTGTTATCCCTTCTGATTCAGCAGTCCCCTTAATTCCCATAGGTCAGAGAACATGGGGTTAGAGTATGAACCATTGATTGTACTCCTTTTCCATCTCCTTCACCATTATGATATACACTCAAATAATTGGGAAATATATTCAATATAAACTCAAATAATTGGGAAAACTTTATAGACAGTTTCCTAGATAAAGGTCTTACATCTCATATATACAGAACTTTGTCAAATTTATAAGAATATGAGTCATTCCCCAATTGACAAATGGTCAAAGAATATAAACAAGGCAGTTTTTCAATGAAGAAATAAACACTAGGGCAGCTAGGTGGTGCGGTGGATAGAGCACTTGCCCTGAAGTCAGGAGGACCTGAGTTCAAATCTGACCTCAGACACATGATACTCACTAGCTGTGTGACCCTGCACAAGTCACTTTACCTTGATTGCCTTACCAAAAAAAAAGAAATAAAAACTATATATAGTCATATAAAAATGCTCTAATCATTACCGACTAGAGAAATACAAATTAAAACAGCTTTGAGATATCATCTCACACCTATCAGATTGGCTAAAATGATAGAAGGGGAAAATGACAAATGTTGGAGGGGATGTGGAAAAATTGAGACATTAATACACTATTGGTGGAACTGTGAACTGATCCAACCATTTTGGAGAGCAATCTGGAATTATGCCCAAAGAGCTGTAAAACTGTATATACCCTTTGACCTAGCAATACCACTACTAGATGTGTTTCCCAAGGTGATCAAGGAAAAAGGAAAAGAACCTATGTATTCTAAAATACAGCAGCTCTCTTTGTGGTGGCAAAGAACTGGAAATTGAGGGGATGTCTGTCAATTGGGGAATGGCTGAAGAAGTTGTGGCATATGATTGTGATGGAACACTGTTTGTACTGTAAGAAATGATAAGCAGGTTGATTTTTGGAAAACTGGAAAGATTTGCGTGACATAATAAAAAGTGAAATGAGCAGAACCAAGAGAATGTTATATACAGTAACAGCAGCATTATTCGAAGAATAATTGTGAACAATCAAGTTATGCTGAGTATTATAAATACTCAAATCAACTACAACGGACCTATGAAGGAAAATGCTATCTACTTCCAGAAAAAGAACTGATAAGTAGAAATATGCATAGCATGGTTTTACATATATTTAAAAATCAGTGTCAAATGGTAGCCTTCTATAGTGTGGGGTGGGGAGGGAGAGAGTTCAAAACCTAAAATGTAACAAAAAAATGAAATTTAAAAAACAAATATGCACTTAGAACTGCCTTAGCCTAGTTTTTACACTGACCTACCTACTTTACATTACTTTATCCACTAGTTTTGGAGTATTCTCTGAGCTGGAATTGTCTTGGGGATTTGTATTTGAATCCTGCTTCAGACACTTAGAAGCTGTTTCCTCATCTGTAAAATGGCTGGGGTGGGGGAGGAATGATATTTGCACTACTTATCTTAAGGGATTATTATGAGGAAAGAACTTTATAAGGCTTAAATCACTATACAAATGTGAGCTATTGCAATTAGTCTGATATCTCCTTCCTTAAAAAAAAAAAAAAACTAACAAAAACGAATCCCTTCTATCCTCCCAGGCCAATCACTAACAACCATAATGACTCTCACCTGTATTAGTACTTTCAGGTTTGCAAAGTGCTTCCTATATATTATCTAATTTGATGTTCACAACCCTGTGATGTAGGTGTTCATATTACACTTGTTTTACAGATGAGGAAAAGGGCTGAAAAGGTTACCTGACTTGCTCAGGGTTATGCTAGGCAGGGGATGAAGGTAGTTGTTGCCTCTCATGGAGCCCAGAGACACAGCATCATAGATTTAGGGGTAGACAGACGGTATAGGTTTTTTCAGAGAAGGAAACTGGGACCCAGAGAGATTAAATGATTTGTCCAAAATCACTTAGCTAGTAAATGCCAGAGACAAGATTTGAACTCAGTTTCTCTGACTACGCATCTAGCACTCCTCTTTCCACTACACTATGACACAAGAACAGAAGAGAAGGTTCACGCTTCTCTCACCCCAGAACAGTCTAACAGCTCATCCAGTCCCAGGCTTTCAGGATTCCTTTCCTAGGATCCCAAAGCAAGGTTGTACCAGAGACAGCTCAAGCCCAATAGCTCACGTACACGAGAGTTGATCGTTAAAATTTCAGTGTGACTAATTACATTTCAGAGATCAGAAAATGATAAAAATCAATGCTATAATTTATTGTTTTGTTTATTATATAGACTTAAGAAAGGGATGGGAAAATGTTAATAATGCAGATGGAACTTTTTGGAGAGCTGGTTGTAAAACATTGGTCCCAAGAGACAGGGTGGAGGAGGTCAGGCTTGTCCTCTCTGATGTCAGGCTCAAAAATGCAAGGCTGCCCTCCCCAAAGAGGCTTCCCTCAACACATCATCCTCCATCCATCAAGGACCTGCCACTTAGGAATTTCTCTGGACTTTGACTGAAGCTATGCGGTTTTTGTTTTCAGCCTTAAAAATGATGATGATAGTAATAATTCCTCACATTTATATGACAGTTTGCTTAGGCAAAGACTCACATCTCATGTGGTCCTCACAACAAACCTGTAATCAACATTGGCAGGTAAAACCACTGAGCTTCAGAGAAGGGAAGGCTAAGAGGAATCTCAGAGAATTTGCCCAGGGTTGCTTGGCAAGTTAATGATAGCCAGGACCAGAACAAAGATCTCTTGCCTCCAGAAGTGTGCCGGTAAATGTTTAACATTTTTCACTTTTAAGTTTACTTAAAAGTCACTTTTAAGTTTAATATGAATTTTTTTTTAACATTTTCCCCATCACTTTCCTACCTCTAGACAATCAACAAAATAATTAATCAGGCCTTGATTTGTAGCATTTGCAAATTTCTACGGTATAAATGTTACCACTGAAAACTTAACAACCAGATCTCATGAGCCAGCATGAGCTGACTCCAGCACACCCCTGGATTTACACAGAATAACGAACATGGTGGCCTACTTCCTCTCCCCATCCCATGACAATCACCATCTTCTTATACTCTGGATTCCATCTTATTTCAGAGAGTCTTGTTCATGCTCCTCACTGTGTAGAAAGGAAACAGGACTGCAGACTTTAGACCCAGTAAAATATAAGCTCTTTGGAGTCAGGCAGTACTGCCTAGGCTTCTAGGTGATCCAGTGGATAGGCCCTAGGCCTGGAGTCAGGGGTATCAAAATCAAATTAGGCTTCTGATAATTATTAACTGTGTGAATCTGACCAGTCACTTAACCTCTGTCAGTTTCCTCATCTGTAAATTGAGAATAATAATAGCACCTACCTCCCGGCGTTGTTATGAGGACAA